TACCCATCCAGGCTGTCAAATTGTAAAGTTTGCAGATGATACAGTGGTGGTGGGATGCATCACAAACAATGATGAGTCCAGCTACAGGCAGGACGTGGAACACCTAGAGAGCTGGTGCAAAGAGAATAACCTTTACATCAACGTTAAGAAGACAAAGGAGATGATTGTGGACTTCAGAAGAAACAAACACATCTACAACCCCCCCCCCCCTCCCCCCGAACATAAGAGGATCTGCGGTGGAAGTGGTTTCCAGCTACAAGAACTTGGGTGTACACATGAATGACAACCTCAGCTGGAGCAACAACACCACCAGCCTGATCAAGAAAGCTCATCGGAGACTCTACTTCCTCAGGCGGCTGAGACGAGCTGGCTGGGAAGCTCAGTCCTCACCTCCTTCTACAGGTGTGCAGTGGAGAACATCCTGTGCGCCAGCATCAACGTATGGCATGGAGGCTGCACAGCTGCAGAAAGAAAAGCTTTGCAGAGAGTGGTGAAGGCCGCACAGAAGATGTTGGAATCAGTCTCCCCACCATCACAGACATCTACACCTCCAGATGCAGGAAGAGGGCCACCTGCATCATGAAGGACCCCACTCACCCAGCACACACACTTTTTGACCTGCTCCCCTCAGGAAGGAGGTTAAGGAGCATTAAAGTGTAGAACCACTAGACTGAGGAACAGCTTCTACCCTGAGGCTGTTAGACTCATGAATCTCTAACCAGAATAATCACTGTGAAAAATCACATCATGTAGCTGCTGATCTGTTTCATGTTGCTGCTGATCTGCCTCATGTTGCTGTGTTCATGCGTGCTCATCTGCTCACACAGATTCATGTTCGTGTTGTTGTTCGACGTAAATGTTTTTATGCTATTAGTGCTTGCTTAGTGTACATTTAGTTGATGTTTTTCTTAGTTCATATCTTATCATTGTTTTTCTTTTACATTTTATTGTTGGATATAACTGGGACCCTGTGTACATAATTTTGTTCCACCACATGTACCACATGTGGTGCGAACGACAATAAAGAAACTCTCGACTCTGACTCTTTATGATGAATGCTCCACAGAAAAACCAATTCTGAAGGAAGAAGATGCTGAAGATGAATGGAAGTCCAAAGGTGATGCTGTCAGGTGGGTGGTTCTCTTTCAAGTAGTTGACCTGCCTAACATGCTGTCTATCATCAGCCACATCTTGAGCATCCCAGCGTCCACTGGATATGTGGAAAATATATTTTCCAGAATGGCCAACAAACAGAGTGACTGCAGTAACAAGTGCTCCATGGAGCTCATGAGAAGTGAGCTCCTGATCACTCTCAACTTTGAGCAGACCTGTTCAGAGTTTTACAGCAGCGCTTTGAAAGACAAAGATTTACTCAGTGCTGCAAGGAGTAACATGAAGTACACCTGGAAAAATGTAACAGTTTCTGATGAACACTGCTGAAGGAAAGAGTAACGTTTTGCACTTTTTTCTTATTGAATAAGCAGATAAGTTTACAATTGTTTTCTTTATTTTTTGTTTCTGCCTCTTAAAAAATGTCCCCATGGTTCAGAGTCCCTATAGATATGCCCTTAAAAAGTTAAGTGAAGTTCTCAATTTATTTATATTTTAAATGTTTATTGTTGCACACTCCACACAGACAGATTTCATTTAAGATTTTATTAATTACACTTTATACAAGAATGTGTTCATTATTAATAAAGCATTTCAAATTTTAAATATGACTACTTGCTTTCTTGATCACCCCTGTACTAAAAACACAGGCAAAAAATAAAACATAGCACTGCTGGGTGCACCCCGCCCCACGTGTCAGGCCCAATGCGGTCATAGTCCAGCAGAGCCATGGTGCCTTATTTTAATCTCTGAAAGGTGGCAAACCTACAACTCACTCAACTTAAACAATTTTAATTGAGTGAATAAACATTATCAAGTCTTCTTGATAAATAAACTTTTGCTTTAGTTGATTTAAATTTATTAGTTGACGGAACTGTTGTTTATGTTGTTTCAACTCAGAAATAAATGTAATTTCTACTTCGCAGATTTTCACTTATTGGGGGTGGGGGGTCCGCAATGTAACCCCCATGATAAACGAGGGACTACTGTATAGTTTATTTTTCTTATTACTAGCATTTTGTAGTCCTTTCATAACCCATGGTGATTCTATGTGCTTAGAATGTTTTATTCAGTTCATTCACATGCAGAGGTTTTAGGAAAATCATGTTTTCATTTTCCTGATGTGTTGTCCTAAGGAAGAGTTAGCCGAAGGAAGGATAACGTTAATTGGAGAAAAGTTAATGCTAGCTGAAGAAAAAGCTAACATTAGCCAAAGTGAAGCCAACTTTAGTTGGAGAAGCCAACATTAACTGAAGGTAGGCTAACATTAGCTGAAAGGTAGAGTAACACTAGCTGAAGAGAGGCTAATGTTAGCTGAAAGGTAGGCTAACACTAGTTGAAAGGTAGGCTAACACTAGCTGAAAGGTAGGCTAACACTAGCTGAAGAGAGGCTAACATTAGCTGAAAGGTAGGCTAACACTAGCTGAAGAGAGGCTAACAGCTCATCAATTCCTCTCTGTTTTGATACTGTTTAGTTTGTCATGGTTTCCTGCAGTTCTATTAATCCATCCATTATCTTTACCCACTTTTTCCTTTTTGGGTCATGGGGGTCACTGGTGCCCATATCCAAGAGTCACTGTGTGAAGCGGTGTGGGACACCTTGGACAGGTCGCAAGTCCATCACAGGGACACACAGAGACTAACAAGACAAACAACCATCCATACTCTCATTTACACCTAGGGATAATTTAGAGTTAACACTTATCAACAAAACTTACAGAAGAGTAGTTCTGACAGACTATAGACATCATTTGAATGTTCTAAAACTGTTTATAGTTCGTTTTCATTCTTTGTAGATGCTTGGGTGGAGCTCTGCTTGAACTTTTTGTACAGTGCCCCTGCCTTCCCTTCATGTTTGTACACTCAGCTATAACTGGCATGAAACTGTTTTTCTTTTAATATTTTTTTTCTCCAGAGAAACCACATCTGGACCAATGCTTCTCTTTCTGTTGTGTCTTTTTCCTGTCCTCTCTAAACCTTGTCAGTTGAGGCAGATGTCTGCTCATCTGAAAGCCTAGCTCTGGTTTTATTAGAGGTTTCTTAAAAAAGGAGATTTCCCCTTTCCACTGTTGCTAATGTGCTGCTCAGTATGCACCAATTCAATTCAATTCAGTTTGTTTATTTAGCACCAAGTCGCACCAAGTCCCTACAGAAGTAGTCCCAGGGCAGTGTACAAAAGCATTCACATACATTATAAAAGCCAATTAGTAACAGTTATAGATCAAAGGAAGCCAGCAGATTATGTTGAACCCACTTTGTCACAATCAAAGAACTAGGCTCAGGACAAGTGGTCATCTGCTTTGACCGGCTGGTTTGACAGGACAGCAAAGTGAAACCTGGAAACAGTCTACTGATGTTCTTAGATACAATTTTCAAATCCACTTTCTTCCACCTGTGTAATATCACTAAAATTAGAAATATCTCATCTAATAATGATGCAGAAAAACTGGTCCATGCATTTGTCACGTCTAGACTGGACTATTGCAATGGTTTATTATCTGGGTGTTCAAATACTTCTTTAAAACGTCTTGTTGATCCAAAATGCTGCTGCCAGAGTCTTAACTGGAGTTACTGGGAGAGATCATATCTCTCCAGTTTTAGTTTCTCTCCATTGGCTCCCTGTCAAATCCAGAATAGAATTCAAAATCTTACTTCTAACCTACAAAGCTCTCAACAACCTGGCTCCACCTTATATTACAGATCTTATTGTTCCATATTTTCCTAACAGAGCACTTCACTCTCAGACTGCAGGTTTACTTGTGGTTCCTAGAATTTACAAAAACAGAATGGGAGGCAGATCTTTCAGTTATCAGGCTCCTCTCTTGTGGAACCAACTTCCAATCTCTGTCCGTGAGGCTGACACATTATCCACTTTTAAAACTAGGCTTAAGACTTTCCTTTTTGCTAAATCCTATAGTTAGGGTCAGCTTGGGCTTTCCTGAGCTGTCCCTTAGTTATGCTGCTATAGGCTTAGACTGCTGGAGGACAAACTGACCACATTTCCTCAAATGAATAGTTTGTATTTATAATTATTACTATTTTTGCCTTTCCTACTATAGAAAGACCTGTTCACCTCCATTCTGCACCTGCCATTCTGTGTTCAGTTCTCCTTCCTGTCCTTTCAAATTCCATTTGGTCAAAGCAAATGGCCACATGCCCTGAGCCTGGTCTGAAGGTTTCTTCCTGTTAAATGGGAGTTTTTCCTTTCCACTGTTGCCATTGTTTCCTCAGGATGGAAGATTGTGACAAAGTGGGTTCAACATAATCTGCTGGCTTTCTTAGATAGAGAACTTTACTAATTGTTTTTTTATGCATATGGATGTTTCTGTTGTGTCCTGAGATGACTTCTGTTGTGACTTGGTGCTATATAAATAAACTAAATTGAAATGAAATAGTTCCTGGCTGGGCAGCACAGTGGAGCAACTGGTAGAGCTGCTGCCTCTCAGTGAGCAGGTTACCCTGGTTCTAATCCTTGTCTGGGGGTCTTTCTGGGTGGAGTTTTCATGTTCTCTCTGTACATGCGTCGGTTTTCACCGGGTACTCTGGTTTCCTCCCACAGACCAGAAACATGCATGTTAGGCTGACTGGTCCCTAGGTGTGAGTGAGAGAGTGAATGGTTGTTTGTCTCTATGTGTCCCTGTGATGGACTGGAAACCAGTCCAGAGTGTACCTCGCCTCTCGCACAGTGATGGCTGGACATCGGCACAAATGACTCCCACGACCCAAAAAAAGGGAAAAAGTGGGTAAAAGATAATGAATGAAAAAGGATAGTTCCTGGCCTAAAGGACTGAACACACATGGCCTGAACTGCGACAGGAGAACCAAAGATTGTCAGATTTGTTTTTATGAACCGTTCCAACCTAATACAGAAAAAAAAGTGTTTTGGTTACCTTTCTCTTTTTTTGTCCCCCTTCTTAAGCATGAAGCCACACACCTCAGCACACATTTCCAGGTTGGTCAGAAAGTCTTCAAGTGTCTGTAACAAACGAAGATTTATTACTGTCGTTAAACTGATCAATAAGCTCTAAGCAGGCCTTGTCCATACCAAAACACAACTTTTACACAGCTACTGTATTTGCCCTTCTATATACAGGTGCTGGTCATAAAACTAGAATATCATGAAAAGATTGATTTATTTCAGTAATTCTATTTGTAGCAAACCCCCAGATCTTTAACAACATTCAGCGCAACCTCGACGGGTGATTTTTAGGTTTTCTTTTTTTATTTTCTCTTTAATCAGGATCACAATGATCACCGTGAAAACTAAAACATGTACAAGATGCAAAAACATGGGCTCATAATACAAACAAACAAACAAAACATACCTCGCTGCTTTCACCGGGGGAATGCAAAGCATAGAATTGTCTTTGTTTCCTTTACACATCAAACATTTGAGTCCTGCTGACAGTTGTTTTTCAGCCATTCATTAGTACACTGATTTCTGCCAGCTTTTATAACGCTGGCCCTTATTGGCTATGGCATCCCATGAGGTACAAAATAAACAAAAACTCATTGAAAACTACAAATACCATGAAATCAAAACAAAATATTTATGAACCACCAACACAGTCAATCAAAACAGACAAACATCTATAAACAATCTACACAATTTGGAAATTCATTTTAAACAATTTACAGACTATTCAAAAAGTGAAACTTGTATATCAGAGTCAGAGTCAGATTTATTTGTCATTCGCATCTCATGTGGTACATGTGATGAAACGAGATTATGTACACAGTGTCCCAGTTACATCCAACAATAAAATGTAAAAGAAAAACAGTAATAAGATCTAAGATATGAACTAAGAAAAACAAACTAAATAATACAATAAGCACATATTATTATTATACACATATTATATTCATTCATTACACATAGAGTGATATATTTCAAATGTTTATTTCTTTTAATGTTGATGATTATAACCAACAATTAATGAAAACCCCAAATTCAGTACCTCAGAAAATTAGAATATTGCGAAAAGGTTCAACATTGAGGACACCTGGTGCCACACACTAATCAGCTAATTAACTCAAAACACCTGCAAAGACCTTTAAATGGTCTCAGTCTAGTTCTGTATGTTACACAATCATGGGGAAGACTGCTGACTTGACAGTTGTCCAAAACACGACCACTGACACCTTGCACAAGGAGGGCAAGACTCAATAGATCATTGTTAAAGAGGCTGGCTGTTCACAGAGCTCTGTGTCCAAGCACATTAATAGAGAGGCAAAGGGAAGTAAATGATGTACCACCACGCACAGGTGTATGCAAGACAATCAATTCAGCTGTCACATTCCTTGTGTCAAGCCACTCTTGAATAAGAGACAGCATCAGAAGCGTCTTGCCTGGGACTTCTGCTGAGTGGTCCAAAGTTATATTCTCTGATGAAAGTAAATTTTACATTTCCTTTGGAAATCAAGGTCCCAGAGTCTGGAGGAAGAGAGGAGAGGCACAGAATCCACGTTGCTTGAGGTCCAGTGTCAAGTTTCCACAGTCAGTGATGGTTTGGGGGGCCATGTCATCTGCTGGTGTTGGTCCACTGTGCTTTCTGAGGTCTAAGGTCAACACAGCTGTCTACCAGGAAGTTTGAGAGCACTTCATGCTTCCTGCTGCTGACCAACTTTATGGAGATGCAGATTTCATTTTCCAACAGGACTTGGCACCTGCACACAATGCCAAAGCTACCAGTACCTGGTTTAAGGACCATAGTACCCCTATTCTTAAATGGCCAGCAAATTGGCCTGACCTTAACCTCATAGAAAATCTATGGGGTATTGTGAAGAAGAAGATGCGATATGCCAGACCCAACAATTCAGAAGAGCTGAAGGCCACTATCAGAGCAACCTGGGCTCTCGTAACACCTGAGCAGTGCCACAGACTGATCGACTCCATGCCACGCTGCATTGCTGCAGTAATCCAGGTATAAGAAGCCACAAATAAGTACTGAGTGCTGTACATGCTCAAACTTTTCATGGTCATACTTTTCATGTTCATACTTTTCAGTTGGCCAACATTTCTAAAAATCTTTTTTTTTAAATTAAATTGGTCTTAATTTAATGTGGGGTTTTCATTAGTTGTCAGTTATAATCATCAACATTAAAATAAATTAACATTTGAAATATATCAGTCTGTGTAATGAATTAATATAATATACAAGTTTCACTTTCTGAATGGAATGACTGAAATAAATCAACTTTTTCATGATACTCTAATTTCATCCATCCATCCATCCATTATCTTTACCCACTTATTCCATTTTGGGTCACGGGGGTCGCTGGTGCCCATGTCCAGCAATCACTGTGCGAGGGGCGGGGTACACCCTGGACGGGTCGCAAGTCCATCACAGGGCCACATAGAGACAAACGAGACAAACAACCATTCACTCTCTCACTCACACCTAGGGACAATTTAGAGTTACCAATCAGCCTAACATGCATGTTTTTGGACTGTGGGAGGAAACCGGAGCACCCGGAGAAAACCCACGCATGCACGGAGAGAACATGCAAACTCCACCCAGAAAGGCCCCTGGACCGGGGTTTGAACCAGGGACCTGCTCGCTGAGAGGCAGCAGCTCTACCAGTTGCGCCACCGTGCTGCCTCTCTAATTTCATAATTTTTTCATAATTTCATAAATTTTTTATTTTTTTTCTCCCACATAGATATGCCAACGATGACTCTTATATTCAACCTTTATTTGGACAGATTAATCTCAATGAACATTGAGGACAAGCTGTAGTAACGATGCCTGCCCTGTGTGGGGTGCTGTGAAACTGTCACAAAAATATAACTCAATTCATTCAACCTTTATTTAGACAAATAAATCACATTGAGCCTTGAAGACTCGTTTACAAGTGAGATCTGCTTAGACAAAAAGTAGTGAAACTGGACACGTAGGAATTGGAGGCAAAAAAAATCCTATTAAACTTTTTTCTTGGCTGAGAAGAAAAACTAATATTAAAAAAACACCTCACACATACAAGCACATAGTGATGTAGACATTCTGTAGAAGGGGAGGGGAGAGACGACGAGAGCGGTCAGCAATGTCCAAGGAAGCACCCAAGGACACTGTAAGAATTCTGATAAGGATGGAATAATCAGCCAGTTCCCTCCGGTGAGATCCGTAAACATTACCGAGTGATGTCGGGGAATGGCCAAGGACAACACCTATGGGAATCCAAGAGTCCTGAAATGATGACACAATGTTTATTCAGTTGGTTTCCTCTGGTTATCAGTTGGAAAATCCTCGATGGGAGGGGTAGGGGGCGGGGCAGTGCGTCAGATCACATGCCAGGGAGACAGAAAAGTGGGTGAAGAATTTATCTGACAGACGGCTCACACAGCTGGAGACAGAGATTCTTGCCAGGGGACTGAACTTTGCGGTTGCACCAAGTAGAATTCTTTTGGTGGAGATGATCACAGCCACTGAGTCAACCATACGCAACAACACAATTCAAGAGTGTGAGGCAGAACAGCTCAGAATCAAAGTTTCAGCCTGCCACAGCAATGCCAAACCACCTCCTTCCAACATCAATAGAGAGGAGAGGGATGCACTCACCACTCTTAGCAAGGACAAAAATATCATCATTCTCCCAGCAGACAAAAGAAGGTGCACAGTGATTTTGAACCAGAAAGACTATCATGAAAAAGTTATGACACTCCTTAGTGACTTAACCACTTATGAGCCACTGAAAAGAGATCCAGGAAGTGGTTACAAGAAGAAGTTGATAGATTGCCTGAAAATGTTGGAGCAGGACAAAGCTATTGACCGTATTCTGTACAACAGACTGTACCCAGGGGAGGCCACACCTAGTCTGTATAGTTCACCTAAAATCCACAAACAAGGTGTACCTTTAAGACCAATTGCCAGCATGATTAACTCTGTCACTTACAATGTTTCCAAATATCTGGCGTCTAGGAATGTGCGATATGGCATAAAATTCATATCACGATATGTATTGTGAAGGGTGGCGATAACGATATACATCGCAATATGTTGTTGGTATAAAACTTGCTAAAAAAAAAGCATAGGGTGTTCTTTTGCCATCATATATTTTGAATTAAGAAAATTCCACTACTAGGTCCAGAGAGTTTTTTAAATAATAAATCAAGTATTAGGCTTCTTTCTTGTAGTGCTAAACAGTACAAAAGACATCAAATGTAGTTTTAGCCATATGTTTTAAACAAAATAATATGTTGTTAACTCTTAACAGTTTCCAGTCTTACTTAGGAAATGAACAGCAACAGCGCAGCATTTTACACTGAAACACTTCATCCTCCAAACCTCTAGTGGGCACCTCCTTCCGCTTTAATGGAGAGCTGACACAAAATGACTGTGGCTTTGACCAGAGGGTCTTTCAGTAAAAATCACACAACACAGCGTTCTTGTCACAGATCAGAGAGCAGGTTTCTCTAAAGATGACCAACGCTTACTTTAACTTTCGATGGAAAAAAAAAAACAAAACTTTTGACGGAACACAGTGTTTTGTGCATGCGTCAGAATATGGCAACACTACGGCAAGCAGGGCGTAGTTAGCTTGTAGCTTCAATACTTAGCCCTCGAAGAAAATACTTTAACGCCACTTGCGCACAGTTTTCAGCTAAAAAAAAGTAACAATTAAATCTGACAGCTCTGATTTTACACTTGAGCACCCCTTGCACACAGTTTTCAACTAAAAAAAGTAACGATTAAACTGACAACTCTGATTTTACTTCAGACACAGCATTACTACGGTTAGCCGGTAGAAGACAGATCTCTATCGTAGGCTAAATTTCTATCGTTTCTACCGTGTGCCGTTTATATTGCGTATTCCTACTGGAGTCTGTACTCATTCCTTTAGTTGGCAGCTCAGAACACCACATACAGAACACCATGGACTTTGTGGATAAGGTGAGGGATGTCATCATGGAGATTGATGAAACAATGGTCTCTTTTGATGTCACATCACTCTTTACGTGCATTCCTGTTGATAAGG